TACTGACTCACTCACCTGAATCCGGAAGTATCCGAAGGTCCCCATCTTTATAATCCTGCATCAGCTGGTACATGTACAGCATGGGGTCTTTCTCATAAGTTATGAAGAACCACGCAGGCATGCTGGGAGCCCTGGAGAGCACCAAACCTCTCCACTCATCCTTCGAGCTGTCGTCCGTCTCAAACAGGTGAATCACCGGCCTTCCCAGCAGCAGGTCCGCAAGACGAGTGTCACTGACCCGAAACGAGGCGATTTCCCCGGGGAAAATCTCCAGATTCTGAACCCTCTGATCTTTGAAGATCTCCAGGCCGTAGACGCAGTCCACTCCATCGTACTTGATGAGGTACAGAGACGAGTTGACAGACACTTGGACTAGTACCGTCCCCTTCCACCGAGAGACCGGACTGTAGACATCTTCCTTCCAATTGTGTTGTATTCGACAGCCCACAATGCTTTCACTGAGAGACGCAGCAGGACTGCAGTGATGCATGTGTTTGTGTCTGATGAAACACAACAGAGCATTACAATAATTTGCTCTCGTTATGTCAGGAAATACAGCCAGAACTTAACCAGATCTTCATTCAATTTTCATAGTAAGCCAGCTGTTGCCCTTAGAAGTTAATCATTAAAATAAAAACTAAAATGTAAATAAATAAATAAATAGTATTGTTTATATATATAAGATAATTTTTTTAATAAATATAAAAAGTAATAAAAACTACCAAAAATGTGAAAATAATAGACAATATATAAATAAATATTTATAAAATATAAATAGTATTGTTTTTTTACAAGATATATTTTTTATTTAAAAAATGTTTATTAAATATAAAAACTACCAAAAAATGTGAATTTACAAGATATATTTTTTATTAAAAAAATGTTTATTAAATATAAAAACTACCAAAACATGTGAAAGAATATACAATATATAAAATAAAATGTAAATAAATAAATAGTATTTTTTTATAAGATATAATTTTTTTAATAAAACTTTATTCAATATAAAAAGTAGTAAAAACTACCAAAAATTTGAATATAATAAAATATATAAATATATATAAAATATAAATAAATAGTATTGTTTTTTTTACAAGATATTATTTTTTTTATTAAATATAAAACCTACCAAAAATATGCAATATATAAAATATAATATATAAAATAAAATGTAAATAAATATTATTGTTTTTTATAAGATATATTTTTTTTTAAATAATTATTTTTTGTTATTAAATATAAAAAATAATAAAAACGACCAAACTTTTGAAAATAATATAAAAATAAAACTTAATTAAAAATAAATAAATAAAACAAACAATACTAAAATAACACTGGTACTCACTTCTGAGAGCTCTTTTTCTTCATTACGGACCGGCCACCCGACACACCACGAACTGATCAAGACACAAAATTGGTTGATGTGGTAATTAGAGCCCGACCGATATATCGTTTTGCCGATATTATCGGCCGATATGAGCCTGTCGCCGATATATCGGTATCGGGCGAATATGCCGTCGATATGAAATTTTTTTTACAGAACATATAACGCAAATAAAATGCTTGAAATGGTGTAATTACTAAGTTTGTCCAGCAGAGCGCGCTCCATTGTTTGCTACTGGCGACCTGGATGAAACGCTTTAAAGCTTAAGTCTATGGAAAACCATTGAAACTTTGAACGGCCATATCTCCGTAACGACGCGGCGAATCCGCACCAAATTCGGGGGATCCCTTCAGCTCGAGGAACCCTCTCGAACGTGAATCGAGTGTACTTCTCGAGGCCCGCATGAGATCTTTCGAATGAGACCACCCCTGCGTCGATACCCCCCGGGGTTCTGGAGTTACGGGTGGTTAAATTCGCAGTCCGGCGCCGACCGATCTAGCGATCCCCGGGGGCTACCGACGCGCGGAGGGTGGCGTTCGAGAGGCTCCTCGAGCTGAAAGATCCCCCGAATTTGGTGGAGATCCGCCGGCGCGTTCGCAAGATAGTGACACCAGTCAACACTCTCACTTCAGTAAGGAGGTCTCTTGTTCAGGCAGCATTCAAGCGTGGTCTTATTCGACCGTAAGCGCCCTGCGAAGTGGACTTCACATGAAATTCCGCCATGATTCCAGTTCCAAGGGAACGTACACGTTACATTCAAAGGGCATTAAAGTGCGCGAGACGTGAATTTATATTGTGTTTATTTACAGAGGTATATTATGTCACACTTCTCTAGTAAGTTTTGTCTGTGTGAAGACAGTAGCGCAAATCCGTGAATGAATGTTTCGAAGTGAAATAAACTTCAACGGAATAAAGTTGAATTGAATTAAAGTTGAATAAACTTCAACTTTACTGTTCAGTGCACTGATGTCAGACTCATTTTGGATAATAAAGTTTATTGTTAAATTGTTAAATGCCCTGCCTCCATTACATATCTCCGTCACGTCATTATAAGTGTTTGATCACCACATCTGAGTGATCATTGCAAAAAATTTGTTTATGTATGTATATACTGTATTCTATATATAGTACCAGTCAAAGGTGTGGACCCTCGAATGGGAAAGTGTCCAAACTTTTGACTGGTACTGTACTATAATATACACAAAGAATATCGGTCGATATATCGGTATCAGTCTTTTTTTTACTCTCTAATATCGGTATCGGCCCCAAAAAACCCATATCGGTCGGGCTCTAGTGGTAATGCATTTAGTTCAGGTTTAATTGATATTGCATACAGGTCACGGCCTCACCTCCAGTGTCTCTGGAGCGATGCTGGTTCATGCGGCTTCTGTACGGACACTCCATCTGCTCCAGCCAAATCAATCTCTGATCATCCTCCTGTTTGAACAAACACTGGCTGCATCTCAAAATCTACTGAGTGCCCTAGCTAGACAGCATTTTGAGCATGCACTAACAGAAAGGCACTTAAAATGTCCAAAAAGCCTGATTGTACCATGGTATTTTTTTTTAAAAGTACTTTGGGGTAAAACCAGGCTGTATTGTCCTTTAACTGTACAACATTAAAACTTAAACCTACTGATGTGCATTAGAATCAATGCGTATCACATCAACATGAAAACTGGGAATGAAATGAACTACAGCAAAACACAATGTAAACACACACTCATACACACACACTCATACACACACACACACACACACTCACACACGCACACTCATACACACGCACACACACACACACACACTCATACATACATACACACACACACACACACACACTCATACATGTATATATAGTGCACTAGACTGTCAGGTGTGTGTATATATAGTGCACTAGACTGTCAGGTGTGTGTATATATAGTGCACTAGACTGTCAGGTGTGTGTATATATAGTGCACTAGACTGTCAGGTGTGTGTATATATAGTGCACTAGACTGTCAGGTGTGTGTATATATAGTGCACTAGACTGTCAGGTGTGTGTATATATAGTGCACTAGACTGTCAGGTGTGTGTATATATAGTGCACTAGACTGTCAGGTGTGTGTATATATAGTGCACTAGACTGTCAGGTGTGTGTATATATAGTGCACTAGACTGTCAGGTGTGTGTATATATAGTGCACTAGACTGTCAGGTGTGTGTATATATAGTGCACTAGACTGTCAGGTGTGTGTATATATAGTGCACTAGACTGTCAGGTGTGTGTATATATAGTGCACTAGACTGTCAGGTGTGTGTATATATAGTGCACTAGACTGTCAGGTGTGTGTATATATAGTGCACTAGACTGTCAGGTGTGTGTATATATAGTGCACTAGACTGTCAGGTGTGTGTATATATAGTGCACTAGACTGTCAGGTGTGTGTATATATAGTGCACTAGACTGTCAGGTGTATTGAGTGTGGTTGTTGTGTTGCAGCAGCACAGTGTCGGCCGGGCGAAGGTGGCTCATGCCGTGGTGGTGATCTTCATGGAGTTTTTCGCCTGGGGTCTCCTGACCACGCCGATGCTGACAGTGAGCATTAAACACCCATCTGAACACAGGCTGATTTTTAATAGTTTCATCACCAGGGATTATGATCTGCCCTCGGAATTAGATATGTTACATAGCTAAAATTCATGGGTTTATGTTTTTAAATATAATATATATATATATATATATATATATATATATTCTTTTATTATTAATTAAATCAGTCAATTTTTGTTTAATATTTTTTCATAACATGAATTTTAGGCCGTGTTATTTTAATATCTTTGAGATACTAATATAGTTTTTATTAATATTATGAATCTGTTTTTATTTTTATGTTTTCATTTTCATTTTAGGTCATTTTAGTCATCTTGTTGCATGGTTTTGTCATTTGTTGTTGTTTTTTTTTTTATGTGTCTAAGTGAAAATGAAAATGTTGCATTGGCACTGTTACGAATCCTGTCCACCAGAGGTCACTCATCCATCATATTGACTCTCTCACTACACAGACTGTTACACGTCACCACAGACTACATTTCCCATCATCCATTGCTCTGATTGCACACAGCTGTAACCAATCACACACACACTATATGACACTCACTCAGATCTTTCTCAAACTGCCGAGTATTGTAAGCGCATATCGCAACCCTAGCTCTCCCAGGATCAGGAGACAGTCCTCCATAAAACCTGCTGCACACATCTGAATATTTGGGTTGAAGTGTTCTGGAACAGTGTTGTAAATACAACTTAACCACTGATTTCTAGTCGTGTCCTCTTTTGGAAGACCAAACAAAGTAGTTTCGCTTTCACAACGAAACACACAGCGCTTTCACGACATGGCGGCGGCAGCAACAATACTACAGAGAGAATAAAAGTTACGCCTTCTTTCTTTGCGTGAACATTTGGGTGGCGTTATGCAAATCTTCCCACATAGTGATGTAGACATGTGGGGGCGTGTTAGAACGAGCCGTTTTAGGTAGGCGTGGCTGACTCTTAACTTTTATAAAGAATATCTCTTTGGATTTGAGACTTTAGTCTTTGCAACTTTACAGATCTTCTTTATGCACCGAGAGCTTGTAACACTCCAAAGAGAAAGAACAATTGAAATCGCATCATATGACCCCTTTAACGGATTACTCTTGTGTCTTGCCTGTGCCATATCTGTTATGGGGCAAACGAGACGTGCGGATCCATTTGCAAAGCTTTATTAGAAGACATGATCAGAAACAGGCAGGGTCGAACACCAGCAAACAGATATGGCACGGGGAAGACACAAGAGTAATCTGTTAAACAGGCATGGGTCAATTGATACATCGAACATAATCCAGAGGGCTTGACAAGAGGGGTAATCCGAGGAACAGGAGTAATAGTCCAGGCAAGGTGCAAACATACTCCAAAAGATAAGACAAAAGGGTGATCCAAAATACTCTGGCAAGAATCCGAACACGGGAAAGCAGGCACGGCAAGACTATGACTAGACTATGAAAACTAGAGCAGGCTCTGTAAAGTAGCTATCAACTAGGGTAACGATATGCGCTTACAATACTCGGCAGTTTGAGAAGGATCTGAGTGAGTGTCATATAG